CTTACTTGCAGAATATATCTCAAGTTATTCTATCTTTCGTCGCCTTGAGAAGAATGTTTTGTTGATAAAAAAGTTGAAAATCTTCCACTTTCCTTAGTCCTTCTATAAATTTTTGTAACTTCAAATTTCCAACTTTAATATCTCAAAAACTATCTCCTCTACCAGTTTGCTACTTACTTCAAAATTTAGATACATATTTCCTTAACATTCATGTAAATAGATGTTCAACCTCACTTATGTCTAAATATATAAATTTTTCGTAAGCATCATTATTTCATGCCCGTAACTAGGGATATGGTTTACAACAATAAATTTCAAACTTTTCATTCTAACTATTTACAACAAGTTTATGATGTCTCTTCCAATTTTATTTAGCAGATAACATTTTGTTTTCATTTGACATTAATTTACAACCTCTGTCGGTTGTCTCTTTTATGAAAATCAATAAATTTTGGTACACAAATATAAATTTTGTATTTCCCACTCTTTCATTTTCATTTCATGTCAAGTCTGTAGATTTCTAGACATGTACAGAGTGATCTAGCTGTACTTCTTTATGAGAATTTTCCTGAGATGTTGGGAATATCTCCACTCACTGTTGTTATTGAGTCTTTTTATAACAACTATCTTTGGGTGATCAGCAGAACGGAAGTGTACTCTTATAACACAAGTTATTCCAATATTTCGATAAAGTTTATTATCATTATCAAGGAAGAGATAGATATAAAAAAATGTTGATACAATAATATAAAATGTGTCTCCTCAAGAGCGGGGTACCTTATGAAACCGCCTTGCACCAAGTTCTTGAGCGGCGTACGCAGAATCTGTCCTAGGTGGAGGAACAAACCCCCATGAGCAGGTTAGCAAACGATTGCGCTGAAGTGATGATTCACCAAAACCAAAGGCGAAAAAGCCCTGAATGGTTGAATCTAAGGAGTCGTCAGATGTAGCTGACATGCAAAAACCCTCATATGAGAAGGTTGTCGCGGGTATCAATGCGGAAATCTTACACCTTGATTATCCGACTACCTCATTAACGATGAAACAGCAGAGCATATACTTTGTGCCTGCCCAGCTGGGGACCGAATCAGAGTTCGGCAAAGCCGGACTAATCAGCTTCGTTGGGAAGATGGGTTCGCTTGGTTGAGTGTGAATAGGTGTGAGCCACAATAAACTCTTGCGGGTTGCGGTGGAGGGTCGAATAGACCCACTTACTTTGGACCTAACCTAACCTAACCATTCTAATCATTTCCATATTGATCTTAATTTAAGAGTCACCGGTAGACAGCTGTTTCAGCCTATTGGGCATTGTTATTACCGGGCAGGCGGTAATAACGAAATGTGAATAAACAACAAAATACTTGAAAAAAATAACTGCGTCAACGCAAGCGAGACATAAGTGGAACCACCTATTGGTGTTACATCCAAGTCAACTTGACAAATTATGTCAGTGTTGGTGGTTTGACCAACCTACCGACAACTGCGGTAGCAGAAATCTGGGAAGCTATCCTGGAATGTCATAGGAAAACGAATCCAGATGTTTCTAAAAATGATATGAAATCGAGAAAGGTTAATGCAATCAAGCTGCTGGAAAATAATTATATGAAAATCAAAAGATAAATAGATAAGTACTTCGTTTGTTTGAAGGTGATCGAAAAATTTTCATGATGAATTACATTAGTTTGGACTTCCATTGTTCCAAGCCAAGTTACTTTACGACGTTTCAATTGATGGTATCCACAATCGTCTTGGGGTGGTGAATGGACCTGGCCTGGTTTTCGTGAGGATACAGGGAGGAACACTGGTTTAGGAGTAAATTCGAAGAAGCCGCATACATATTGTCCAACAATGTATTCAGCTAAGTTAGCGTAGAGATACGCAACATATGGAAACCCTCAACCAAACAAAAAATGGCCAACTCCCGTCAAACAGGTAAAGTGAATAAAGGAAACAGGAGATAAGTGAAAGTACTCGAATGACCCATAAATAGTCATCTCTTAGAGGAATTAATCCAGTCATCACCTGAAGACGATTGTGGATAATAATAATAAATATCTTCATTTCTTAATAATAATTGCAAAAAGATACAAAAACAGAAATAACGTCACCAGCAAGATAAATTATGTCAGACAGTATGGCTGAGGTATTCACCAATTGTATAGAGTTCTATATTCAGTAGAATCTTATGAATTTCCTTTTTGAATTCACCAAGTTTATTCATTTGTTTGATGCTGGTAGAGAGTTTGTTAAACATTTTCATGCTTTAATAGAACGGGCTCCTTTCTGTAACAGTTAGTCTATGTTTTGGGTAAACATAATCAAAATTTCTAGTGTTATATACATTCTGTGGTAGACTATTTTCAAAAAGATGTTTGTTTCTAAAAAGGAATAACAAGAGTTCCTGTATATAGACTCCTATAAGTGTAGGTAAGTATTTTAAGACTACTGAATTTGCCTCTACATGATTCTCTTGAGTTCAGTTTCAATATAGTTCTTAAGGCTCTTTTGTACAATAAAATTTTGCTCTGCATTTCTACTACCTCCATAAAAATTAATCCCATACCTACAAACAGATTCAAAGTTTAAATGATAGACCATTCGGATTACATCTGTGTCAACATACTGACCAATAAATAACTCTCATTAAATACAACACTGATTTCAACTTTTGACAAACATTTTGAATATGATTGTTGAAATTCAGTGTGCTGTTTATGTGCAGTCCTAAGAATTTCACTCGTTTTCTGTTTTGAGTGAAATGTCAGCCGAATTTCTTGAGGTAAGTCAAATCCTGCATGGTTTGTTTTGAACATTGCTAACAATCGAAACATCGTGAAGTAACTTGCCTTGGAATCTCTTAGATGCACATTCAAAAAATATATGAGTAACTAACAACCTTCCCATGGCTGAGAGTCATGTTAAAATATCGTCTGAAAATTTTCTGAACTAGTAAGAAAACCAAATTTTTATGATTACAATAGAGTATTGTCTAGTCAGAAATACCAAAAAGCGGAATTTCATAATGAATTTTTTTTGTCTCTGTTGCTGCATACAAAACATTCAACTATAGATATACTCAATCAAATATATACTGAGTGAGAATTTTTTCCTTATAGAACAGTTTTCAGGTAGGTATGAGAGTGTAATGTGAGTGTAATTCAAATTTGTACAGGTATAGGTGTTATCTACATTTGTATTATATTTGATCTCGAAGGTAATCCATCTTACTTGCAGAATATATCTCAAGTTATTCTATCGTAACATTGAAATTTAATCTATCTCATACATTTTTTCTACATTAAATCTGGAAAAAGTTGAAAAGATCAAAAATGATATGTTAGTATAGTATAATTACCTGCATCCATTAATATCATCTCATCTTCATGAATCAATTGATTGTTGTTAATATAATGAATAATAGTGCTTCTTTCGCCACCAGCTACTACAGGAGGATAAGCCAAATATTCTGCACCTCTCATTCGGCACTCGTAGTCGACCTTGGCAAATATTTGATTCTCCCCAATGCCTTGAACAAATGTAGGTATAAATATGTATTCAAGAATACTACTGAATTACCTTCTACATACTTATGTAATGAGGAATGCTAAGATATTCAGGGACAAAATCAACTGAAAACTGCTTGTGACAATATTTTGTATTGTCATAAGAATAACGAGAGTAGGTATCACAGACAAGAGAAGACAATGATTTACTGTTAACAATAACAGAATCAATGCAAATGAGCCAACAAGGGAAGATGAACCATGTATGCACAAGTTTCCTCAAACATGTAATTGGAGAATATTATTATATTATCAAACCATTAGGAGGTAGTTTTCCACCACTTACAGGATATCTCGCATAGTTGTTTTACAAAAAAATTATACAAAATTACGAACATTATTTCACTGTTCCATTTGAAAAAAAAAACGCTTCATCTATTCATAGAATACTTATGATGTACTGTTTGGAACCTTTGGTGAAGTAATGAATATTACTGGAGTTTTTCCATCACTTGGTGATCGAAACACGTGTCGAGGTGTAAAAATAACGATTTGGTGTTGGGAAAAAACTCCAGTTATATTTATTCATAGAATATTAGAAAGTTTTTTCTACATCTTGAAACCAAAATCTTTTGAATATGTGTCTGTTTGCATAATATTGGCAATACTGGTTTGTTCATTTTAAACAACATTCAAACAAACGTAAAGCTTGTCTTTACTGAACTTGCTAGGAATGTGCGTTTTTTTCAAAATAATGTCTATGGGACATTTTGCTTGGAACTCGCCATTATTCTTTCCACACTACTGAATTGAATGTTGCTCGTTCATTGAAAAGTTTAACAATTATGATGTGTTTTCAACATATATCCAAAAAAATTCTATTTTTTCCTGAATAGATATTATTTGGGTATAAAAGTAGGATTCAATTTTGACAGAATCATAGTTTACCACATCAGATAATTTTTGTACAACATGGCAACGATTCATTTCATGGTAGTTTCGTCATTTCCAGTATATTTCAATTTTTATTTGGTATGTGAATACTATTATGGCATATGGTGTCTCCAATAAACCGCCTCTGAATGTAGCGATCCGCATCGTGACGTCATATCGTCACTTCGAACGTGTAGTGAGTTTCTAAAACAGATGAAAATGGCGATCGTGAACAATCGCGATCACGAACATACTGTTTTTATGCGGCGGTGTAGCATCTGTCCAAAATAAGGAGAGCCAGCATGGAAAAATCAGAACCCGTTGGAGGATCTGAGTCGGCTGAATTAGTTAATAGTTACCCGTTTTAGAGCTTACTCAAACTACGTTTTAAAATTTCGAAAATTCAGATTCGTTCCGGAGATACCCGAAAAGAACTGAAATTCGCCAATTTCCTATTGATTTTTTTCTGACATTAAGGATATATTAAAAAACATAAAAACATTTGCCACCTTTTAAACTGTTCAAGATGACTTTTAAAGATTTGCAATTCAACGTTTTGTCTCTCAGAAACCACCAACAATTTAACTTTTTCAAAAGACAACAAAAAAGAAATCACAAATTATAAGTTAGCCTTTTTGGCGAAAAGTCCACTGATGTATCACACATCTTTCAAATACGCTCTGAAATGTTACTAATTTAACCAAATTTGTATCTCTACGTATTCCTGTTCCTACATTGGCCATCTTTATCTTACAGTGTATTTTCAATCACATCGAGGTGCAGAGGTTAAATTAGTTCTGAACGCAAATTAGTTGGAACAAACGATGAGCGACAGCAAAATAAGTGTCATAATTATGAAGTGAAATTCAAGTACTGCAGCAGCTTCATAATGAACATTTTTTACCTGTTATCAAATTTGAGATAGGTGAAATGCCCACCGTCAACCAAACAGGTCACTTTCATTATGTTCCAAATGACTATCTGCCTGAATGATAATAATTATAACGATTTATTTTCCTAAGAAACATACCATGTTTATAGCAGGGGAAAAAACAATAATTCAAAAACTAACTATAACATAACTATGTACATAACATAACTATGTTCTGAAGTTTTTAAATTGGTTTCAATAGGGAATTGTTTGCCATTACACATAATGATATAAGATATTGAATGTTGGAATATACTAATGAAAAATAAATCAATTTAAGGTAATTTAGAAATACAAAATTTCTTATTTTGAATACAATTCTAATTATGGAAGCTATTTTTTATTTTTTTTTTATTGCTCCAATGTGTTGTCTCCATGATACATTTTCGTCTAGAATAAGACCAAGAAATTTAGCACTAGGAGAGTATTTAATATTTTCATTATTGAATCCAATTGGATCTTTCGAAACAATTGAGATACAGACATTTTTGATATGAACATATATGAAGATTTTGGAAAATTCACTGTCATTTTATGGTATCAAAGCCATTAAGATATTTGATAAAGGCCTTTCAAAATATCATTTTTGATTTCTTGTACACTATTTCCATTGTAAATTAAAGTGGTGTCATCAGCAAACATTTGTTATGTAGCCAAAGAATTGAAATATATAAGAAACAAAACAGGTCTAAGTATTGATCCTTGCGGTACCCCACTTTTTTTTTTAAACTAATTATGTCGCCAATATAGACATATTGCTTTCTATTCATTAAATAATTTTGAAACCAATTATAAAGTGAACCTCGGATACCTATATTATGCATTGTTTTCAGAAGAATTTCATGGTCCACAGTATCAAATGCTTTCTTCAGGTCTAATGAAAAAACTCCACATTTTTTGTTCGATCGAATTCTGTGGACTCTGTGTTACAATTTTTTCAAAATCCTTATTGACCATCATATAATAATTTTGTCTTTTCATGTTATTCAAGCAATCTAGAATGTACTGATTTCTTAATAATTTTAGATAAAACTGGTAAAACTGAAATTGGTCTATAATTCGTCATATGGTCTTTTTTACTAGCTTTAAATAATGGTTTAACTTTATCAATTTTAGCATTATTAGGTACCAAACCTATCGAAAATGAATCAGTGGTGCTTATTCTGATTGAAATTTGTTAACAATTTTTTTAATCTTCCTCTTGAAGATGATCACTTAGTGATTGAAACACCTGTCGAGGTGTTAAAAATAACGGTTTTGTGTTGGAATTAAACTCCAGTATTCAACAATTTTATGGTAATTTCGTCGAATTTTGGAGCTTTTCTTGAATCAAACATATCAATTATTTCTTTCATTTCTTCTGGTTTGGTAGGCTTGAGATAGACGATAATTTTGATTGAATTGTTGGACTCTCTTGAGTAGGAATAGGAATACTAGATGATAAATTTGTACCAATAGTATCAAAATAATTGGTTAAACTTTCACAAATATCTTATAGATTTTCAATTTTGTTTCCATCAACGGATATATATTTGATTTCATCATTTCCATGATTCGTCTTATTATAATGAATTTCGTTTATTGATTTCCATACACACTTTGGAGCGGGGTTACTGAAGTTTTCTTCATAATATTTATTTTTGGCAACTTCTATGATATAATCATCTTTTAATTTGTTTTTGATTTCTTCCTTCAGCTTTTCATGATAATCTTTTTCTTTGCAATGTATTTCCAGTCTTTCTTGTTTAGTTTGTTTCACTGATGCAATATTAATCTTGAGATTACTAATATCAATATTGTTGCTGAGATCTTTTATCGTTTTTGATAAATTACGAGATAATTTTGGCTTGATGATAATTGAATCAGAATAACTGTTGATTTTATTCACATTTGTTTGAGTTAAGACCTGAGAATATGATAATGCATTTTTTAGGACATGTAGTGATTGATTCATGATTATATTGTAATTTTTCATTTTCCTTCTGTTATCGATTAATATACTTGTCTTTTTCAATAATCAAAAGTTATTTCTCCTCGATAATCTTCCATAAACGTCTATTTTTTTCTTTGAGATCTTTGATAAAATCGTTTTTTATATTTGCTGCTTCTTCATTCTCCTGGTACTTTATTTTCCGAATTTGGGATTGAGATGGGCATACTATCGTAGCTATTGTCTAAATTACTAGTCCTTTTTTTGCCTCTAGACACTTCACTCGGGTACAACTCTCACTGGACTATGAGTTTTTTAGGATGACATTTCTATGCATTGAGATTACTGTTATTCGCCGATATTTAACAATTTGGTTTTTCTTTGAATTACTAATTTTTTTTCAGAGCTCTTGACACTTATCTTGACAGTGTTTTAACAAATGAAAATGGTTAGTTGTTAGGATAAATTGATGTATCTTGAATGCATTTTATCAATAATTAATTTTTTTCTTGGTGTCATAGGCATTGACTACATTGATGATTATCCCCGTGTCCTGGGAGGCAATGTTAATAACTCCCTGAGCCTCTGAGCCACCTAGGGAGCATCATGACTATTCGCATTTCGTCAGCAATTTAACTTTGTAGAATCATCCCAACTTCAACTAGATAAATTCTCTCGAGAAAAATATCTGGTTAAGGTTGGGATCGAACTCACCACCTTCCAGTCGTGAGTTGGGTTAATAATTATTATGCAAGTCCCTCAAAATGCTCGGAAGGCAGTTAGGAGATACAGAAACAGGTCGAGCCATATCTATCCTACCTGATGACATTTTGGTGGGCAATTCGTCTAAGTCCAAATATAATATTCAGTTTCAATTTCGAATTATTAAAGTTATTAAATTTAAACAACTGTACGTACCACTCATTTGTAAAGAATCAAGCATAATCGTAACACTAGTGACACCGATAGTTCCTAACAATATTATATAATTTGAAAACCGAACTTTTGAGCAACAATGACTTGTGTGGACAAAAAAGTGGTTACTTTTTTTAGAGAATTTTATAATAAACAAATCATCGTTCAGTTCATTCAACAATTCAAATTTTTATTTGGTTCATAACAAAGCTACAGCTTTAGAACATGTCACGAAATCATAATTAGTTTTTACATTTGCGGGACACCCGACAAGTAATGAGAAGAGAGAGGAAAGAAAGACAAAGAGGAATTATGAAAGTTATTATAGCTCGAGTGTTTTCAGTAGGTACCTCATATAAACTACCCAAATAAAAATGATGACTCTAGACTAGCGACAGCTGATTAACGGAAAAACAGATTTTAAACAGACAGGTATGTCTGAAACACTTCATGAATTCCAAGCTGAGATCATTGAAATTGGTGCCTGAAAAATACTGATAAGATTCCAGTCCCATAACTTGAACAAGCACTGAAGGCGAGATGGCACCACATTGCCTTCACATATGCCATTGAGTTTGGTCCACCAGCCACGAAATCAAGCAAACTAAGATTCATCAGTGCAAATGAGGGAGACATAGCTGATGAAAACATGGCTGCTTTAAAGAAACCCTTCAAGATAGAAGAACTGATAGAAGAAGTTGGCATGAGATATCAGAATACTGTACCTAGTTCAAAGAAACTACAATCAGTCAATGCTGGTCTAAATACTGACGAATAATCGAAGCATAAAGCAGAGCAACAACATTCTGTTGAAATATCACATGACTTCCATCATTGGGGAAGAAGCAACATTGAATGGCATCCACAGTTTCGAGATCCGATTTGTGTTTAGGTGAATACCTATAAAGTAAAATCTACAGAACACATCCAGCATAATTGGAAGATCTGCGCTTGAACATTTAATTAACTAAGTAGTATGTAAGCACCTGAACAAATCAAAATTTTCAAATGTAATTTTTTTTATCCAAAGACTGATGAAAACAGAAATTCAAGGGCTTCAAAATGACATCTTATTGGGTCCCTCTTGTCATTTAAAAATATTGAAATGATTGCCATCCTCTCTTGGGGGGGGGGAGTAACAGAGTTGAAAATACCAAACAAAAGTGTCACCCTTCAACAAAAATTGGTGGGTTCTTGCATTTTCCTAAAATGTTGAGACAATGACAGATCACATAGTATGATGAGGCAAATTTAAAAGTCTCAAATATATAATTGAATAGAACTGGCCAATACTTGATGAAAATCCACACTAAAACTCGTTAATACGGTTTTTGTAATCCCATACCGTTATTTTGATTTAACGGTATTCAGATGACAATTGAAAAGTTAACGTTAAGAGCTTCCGCCCATTAAGATTTTTTAATGTCCGGCGGCCGTTTCAAAATTTTCATATTCCTTTTGATATCGCTCTTGAGTTACTTTCGGCAGTAAATCAACACTTGCTGGACATGATTTTTCCAATATTTCTAAAGAAATTTCATTTTGTTTCTCAATTTCTTTTTACAAAAACCGCAACATGCGTTTCTCTGTACTCTATACAATAGCTTTCTCACTTGCAGTGGTGCAAACACCATTGACTTCCTGCAAATCAATCATCCCAGTGCCCAAATTTCCATATCAGGTAACTTCAATGTCCAGAATATCGAATAACTCAAATTTTCAAATATTAATGGCGAACAAGGTCGTGAAGCTGAGAATTTTGCAATAATCAGCGAACTTACTCAGATTATAAATGAGCCAAATAGGATTTCTGACCGTGATGGAGAATTTGCCAGTCTTCTGGATATATACCTAACAACCAATCCGAAAATTTACACAGTCACCATAAAATCTCCATTGGGATCTTCTGACCACAAACTTATTTCAGTGTTGAGTGAATTACCGATAAATGTTGGAGAACAATCTAAACAGTCCATTACAGATCTGCTGAGTGAGAGGATCTTCAAGACCATTTCCTAAATTTTCCCTGGCTAGATGTTTGTTTCAGCTCTAAATATCCATCAAACTTGTATTTCTGAAGTCACGGAAGTTATTCAATCATCCATGGATGCATATATTCCCTTTTCAATGAAACGAACCGGAAAAACTTGGTTCAACAAAATTTGCGAGAAAGCTGTCACCTCCAAAAATCTCGCCTACCAGCTTCAAGAAATTTCAAAACGAGAATATTCTAACATAAAAAAAGTTGTGAACTGAAGAAAACGAATTCCACCTATGCTTGGCACCTTTTAGAAAACCACGATTTCAACATGGCCTAGGATATATTATATACAGCAAATAAAGAACAAAAATTAAACCTGCTTGACTCTCTGGAAATCAAGAAACACAAATTTTCAAATGTTGTTTGAAACGACCAACAAAAATTTATTCATTCACCATTATTGAACTTGTTTTCATTAAATATCAATAACTAACATATTTATGAATTTTCTGTTTTACTAGAAGTAATATTGTACTGTAATAATTTTTTTTAAATCTACTTGTTTTACCATAATTATTCAGTTATCTAATAAACTTTTGTAATTACCTACTGTTATATAAAATACATTGTAGAATAATTTGATGTACCGGTCCAACAGACGAACCAACCGTGTAGCGAAATGCATCTTCATGGATAGTGTTATTAATATTCATCAAGTAACGAGTCAGTGTGATCATAATTTCATTTTGAAAATGAAAAATTATTCAATTTTTGGTAAAAACCATTGTTTGAAATATCTGCTCTTGATAACATGTGACGAAAATATAACTAATTTACTTTTTCTGTGGTGTGATCAGCAAACAATCATGAAAAACATCAAAGATAAACTAAATAAAATCTATTACCTGGTCTTGAAAAAGACATTGTTTCCATGAAGGCTTGTGCAGTGATATCACAAGCTCTTTGCATCAATGCTATTTCAGATGGACTTTTATAAAGCCGTAACTTATGTAAGAATGGTTTCGGATTTTCCCACTTCTTATGGCCAATTTCCAACATTAAGTTTCTAATATTTTTTTGGACTGGTGTCAATAAGTCGCACCTAATAACAAATGAAAATAATAATATTCTATTCTAACCACACAGATAATTTAGCATGCATCAATGACTTTTTGAAATGATTAAATTTTGCTAGTGTGATATGAGACAGTTCAATAATTTACTGACAAAAATCTAAAATACATTGTATTCTGTCTGCATGTTCAATGATGTTTTATAGTTTTGTTGAAGATGAAAGAACCGATCTGGTTCCCAAAATAATACGTTTTTTTGAAGCTAAGTTGTTATTCAACTGTATTGTTGTAGGCAAATTTAGAATATTATGAGCTGCCATTTCTAAATTTGTATATGATCTGGAGTGGACTGTCAAAGTATTTGTTGATTCAACCGGTCGTGTTTCGTGCTATTCCGTAAAACAATTTTAATTTGTAGTAAAACATTCTGGATATAAAATGGTGATTACTCGTGCTGATAAACATAGAAAAATCCCATTGACTGATGTAAAGAAAAAATTCATTTTACAAGAAAGTGAAAATCTCTTGAAAACATTTTGCGACGTGATAGCTGAATTGAAGAGAGAAATTGAAGTACTGAAACAAACCAACATTGATTTAATTAAACTTCTCACAAAAAAAAGACCAACTACAAATCCAAAACGATCTTGATAGTGAATCAAAAAAACTCGAATCATCATGCTCATTAGAAAACACGGTAACAAAATGTGATCACAGATGAAAGCGTAAAGACAATGTCAACGTGGACGGAGGTTCCAAAAAAGCGAAAAAACCGTGAACAAAACCATGGGCCACTGGATTTGAAAGAAAAAAAATAAACCGATTGTCAGAACGAATTCATCTGATGATAAGGACAACGATTTCATAGGGGAGTTGATGCACAGACTGTATGTTGGGCATTGCAAACAGCAAGCCACTGCTGAGAAAGTAAAATCATACCTACAGAAATGATCGCCAGGATAACTCAAAGATATTTTATATCAACCAAATTACTGTCCTGATAAAATCATTGTGAAGAGATTTCTCTTTTGAAAGCCAGCTCGTAGCTCGCAATTCTCTAACAAAGAATTTTAATGATTATTATTCAGTAAACTTTTCAGAATTCGACGGTATTAGAATCCTTCACGTGTTAGGAATCACAGGTTAAAAGGTAAGACCTCGTTAGTCCTTAGTTCGCACAAGTTTCTCAACTTCTGAGAGTTATCGTTCATATGGGGGCGACAGCTGATTATCAGAAAAACAAATTTTAAACAGATTTTTAAACAATGTTCAGTCGCTGTCAAATTAAATTGACCAAATTGAAATTCATGGTGGTGATATAATTCATGTGCGTAATGATTTGAGGTCTGAAGATATGTTAATCACAAAATTTTCTGAAGAAATGCATTTTGAGTGCAGTGGTATCTTTTAATATCAACAACAAAAAATATAGTTTGATTATTATATACAGGCCTATATTGGACCAAATACTCACCATAAACTTGAATCTTTATGAGACTTCTTATAAGATATGAGAAACTTCTCTAGTTCACTTATTGGTAGGCTTTGATCTACCCCAAAAAAACTAACTGCATCAGTGGAGTGAGTTCTTGGCCCATCCCATAATTCAGCATGCTCGTCCCTATCCCTGGTAAATAAAGTTGTACAATGACTTCCTCCCTCTCCAACTGTTATCACAACACAGCAATCTGGTTCCTGACAACCTGTTAAATACAAAAATTCTGTGTTTTGGCGGAAGACATAAGGGATCTTATCAGACATGTATTGTTTAGAGGCAGCAGGGATAACTATCTAAAATGATTAGAATCTGAAATGAAATGAATATATTTTGTAAATAATACACACCATATGATTCTTTTGGATCAGACCAATTCTAGAAACATATTTCAAAATAGATTCCACCAAACCAGCCCTTCTGTTCTGATATTCACATTTTGTTATCATTGGGGTCACCTCACCTTCGCTCAAAAGGTGAGGATGTGTTTCACTTGTAGGTTGGCCAACACTTTTTCTGTTACTAAAAGGACATTCTACTTTTGATTTTGCAGCTTTCATACAAAATTTTCTTAGCGAACCTAAACAATCAAGTATTAAAGAATACAAATATTTCATAGAAATATTGTCAACTCACCGAAACTGGTTATTTTAGAAAATTTATTATAGATAACAAACATTTTTAAATTAAATTTCTAAAAAAAAATCATAGATTGCCTCAATCCGATAATGTTCAGAATTGATTAACAAATTATTACATAGGATCAATTTCTTGTTTCCCCCTTATACTCAATACCTACCTATTCGACCATATTCTATCTTCCTTGACCACAGTTATATACAGTTATATACCTGCAATTGTTACAGTTTTTTTATATTTGTTGCAAACAAACGTTTTTTTGGAAACATTTCAAATGTACGAAAAAATGATTTATTTATTCATTCACGGAGTTCAAGACCCATTTCATTCGATACAATTTAAAATTTAAAAATAGATAGGTACACACAATGCCCAATAGAATAAAAAAAATGTAGGTATATATAAATCTAGTCAAAATGTAAAAATTCAACCAATAATCAAATGAAAGGCGCTCTGAAGCTGAAGGTTTGATTCGACGTTTTCAAACCATAGGTACCTTGGCATGCAACCACAAGTTCCCGAAACTAAACGATACGGAAATTTTTCACTAAGCAAGGAAGGGTTAAGGCGAGTTCATATTAGAACGATTGCGATAATATTTTTGCGGTTCTACAAATTTGCCCTAATTGTCAAAATACTCTGTTCATGTTAAAGCGGGCAATATCTAGGGATTTTATTGGCGAATTTTAAATTTTATTACATGAACCTGAATGATGACATACGACTCATACGAATTACGACTTTTAAAACCAGACCCCATCATATCAGAAAATAGGACTAAAGGCTAGTTCATGTTAGAACGAACATCGCATAAAAAGTGCGATTTAAAATGGCGTTGTGTTTATCGTAAAAAAGTTGAAAAAATTGAACTTTTTTGCGATTTCCGCAAAATGTTATACGTCAACATAAAATGAGGTTATATTAATTTGACTCTCGTTTTTTAAGCCCATACTGTTGATATTAGCTTAAAAATAAAAGATGTTAGTTGTCGCGCCCTCTAGTAGCATATGTAGCAGTTACTTTGTATTCCCGTTCCTTTTCTAATAAAGCAGTTTCTTGCTGATAGTTGAACAAGTCGGAGTGTTTTCATTGTTTCCTTCCGCCTGCTTTTTAATACATACATCGAAATTGAATCCGAAATGAACGAATGTGTCAGGTTGTTCAAATTATATCAACTTTACCGTAAAAAGCTTCATTGAGAAAACCCCGTCTTTAGGGTGGAAAATATTCTCAAAAATAGAAGAAAATATGGAGAATATCACAATCTTGTGGCTGAAATAAATGAGAATAAGTGATCCAGAGAAATATTTCAGCTATTTCAGGCTCCCTCTCTAATTATTAAATAAATTATTGAATTTGGTTGGCCCCTCATTGAAAAAAACTCATTTTGCAAAAGAACCCCTCGCCCCTGCAGGCAGTAACGTTAAGATAAGTGGTTTGAAGACACGCTCCTATCAAACAAAACTTGAGAAAATTGTTAGTCCTATATTCTGATATGATGGGGTCTGGTCTTGAAAGTCGTAATTCGTATGTCATCATTCAGGTTCATGTAATAAAATTTAAAATTCAACAATGAAATCCCCAGATATTGTCCGCTTCAACATGAACAGGGTATTTTGACAATTGAGGCAAATTTGCGGAACCGCAAAAATATTATCGCAATCGTTCTGATATGAACTCGCCTTATTAACACTTTTCTCAAGTTTTGCTTAATAGTAGCGTGTCTTCAAACCACTTATCTTAAAAAAGGCGAGTTCATATTAGAACGATTGCGATTTTATTACATGAACCTGAATGATGACATACGAATTACGACTTTTAAGACTATAGACCCCATCATATCAGAATATGGGACTAACAATTTTCTCAAGTTTTGTTTAATAGAAGCGTGTCTTCAAACCATTTATCTTAACGTTACTGCCTGCATGGGCGAGGGGTTCTTTTGCAAAATGAGTTTTCTTTAATGAGGGGCCAACCAAATTCAATAATTTATTGAATAATGAGAGAGTGAGCCTGAAATAGATGAAATATGTCTCTGGATCACTAATTCTCATTTATTTCAGCCACAAGATTGTGATATTCTCCATATTTTCTGTTATTTTTGAAAATATTTTCCACTATAAAGATGGGGTTTAAACTTTTTACGGTAAAGTTGATATAATTTGAACAAACTGACACATTCGTCCATTTCGGATTCAATTTCGATGTATGCGGGCTTAAAAAACGAGAGTAAAAGCAATATTAACCTCATTGTATGTTGACGTATAATATTTTGCGGAAATCGCAAAAAAGTTCAATTTTTTCAACTTTTTTACGATAAAATGGCGTCGTGCTTATCGTAAAAAAGTTGAACTTTTTTGCGATTTCCGCAAAATTTTATACGTCAACATACAAAGAAGTTATATACTATTTTATTTGACTCTCGTTTTTTGAGCTCATACATTGAAATTGAATCCGAAATGGACGAATGTGTCAGGTTGTTCCAATTATATCAATTTTACCGTATATATAAAGCTTCAATGAAAACACCCCGTCTTTATAGTGCGAGAAATATTTTCAAAAACAAGAAAATATGGAGAATATCACAACCTTGTGGCTGAAATGAGAATTAGTGATCCAGAG